TATATATATAGACTTGGGATCATGTGAGACCAGCCTATTTTCGTGAGACCCATGAGACCAGCTTTTTACACTTGAAACTTCACAGCAAAATGTTGTGAAGGTAACCTTCACAGTGTTTTTGTTGTAAAGGTTCGACTTTTTTAGACTTTCACAGTGTTTGCTGTGAAGTTTCAAGTGTAAAAATGTGGTCTCTGGGTCTCACGAAAACAGTCTGGTCTCACGTGAACCCAACCCTATATATATATATATATATATATATAATTATTTAAATATGTATATATATATGTATATATATATATATATATGCACACATATTTAAATAATTATATATTTTTTTAAGAAAACCAACTATGTACATATTTAAATAGACTTGGGATCATGTGAGACCAAATGTTTTCCGTGAGACCCTTAAGACCAATTTTCAACCATTGGATTAGATCTACAATCTAAACATTCATAATCATAAAATTGCCACGAGACTTCTCAATAATCACAAAATTGCCACGAGAATTCTCAATAATCACAAAATTGTCACCGTGCAACTTTAGACCATTAGATCGTTAGCTTATAAAGTTGATCAATGAACATAAATTGGTCTTACGGGTCTCACGAAAAACTCTTAGTCTCACGCAAATCCAACCTTATTTAAATAATCATATATATTTTTTATGGAAAGTATATAGTTTTACTTTCACACATTATATATATATATATATATATATATATATATATATATATGAATCGGTTTTCGGTAAGAATAGTAGTTATTGTGAAAAGGGTAAGAAGAAACTCCATCTTTAGATCAATCTTCATTGAAGATCAATTGAAAATACCCTTCTAAGCTAATTCATTGTTATTTTGGGAATTAATCTAAAGCTTTAGTTCAACAATAATTAAAAGTGATCATGGGTCCAAATCATTTCTTATACTTCTCACATTAACTCTCATTTTCACATAATCTCCCCCCCTCTCTCTCTCTCTCTCTCTCTCTCTATATATATATATATATTATCTTATTAAGCAAATTTAGCAAAAGTCTTAAAGTCTTAAAATTCACCAAGATACCATTTATACTACCCTTTAGTCACTTTTTCACCCCCTCCTCTCCTCACATACACTCACCCTCTCACGATTTTTTTTCATCAAGTCAAGAAATTAGTGGGTTCTTTCTTTTGGGTCTTTTCATCATCATCTTCAACTGGTGGTGTGTCACACCCCGCTAAAGCGGAAACACGAAGTATGGCAGGTAAAGTCTCATAGCAATAGAGTATAAATAACACAACCATACATTTAAAATTTAATTACACCATTAACTAAAGTTTACAATTCCAAAGACAAGTTTGTAAATTAAACACAAAAGAAATTTTGAAGGTGATGATTGTGACACGGCTTCTTTTAAGTGTCACCATAAGCCTTTCTTACCCCTGAAAAAGCACGTCAAAACAAGTGTCAACTACAAGAGTTGGTGAGTTCACAKGTTTTATATGCACAAAATGATTTCAAATGCAGCAAATCCCAGTTATAAGTTTATGAGCAATATYTTAAAAGCAACGTCATACACATGATATAAATTGTTGAGCCACTACTAAACCTAAACAACTTTCAACGCCCCACTAACTACCTCAGAGGTGGTAGCGAACCACATGGATAGAGCATTCTTACGAACTACCTCAGCGGTGACTACTTCGAGTCACATGTGTAGAGCATACTTTAATGACCAAGTGCACCCCTACTCGTCAGTCAAAAGGGTGGGTATGACAACCAAATATCGCTACCCACAAAAATCATAGGCTCAAAATGAGTTAATAGTAGTGTAAACAAACGGGGACTTTCAAACTTAACATACCATCAATAGTGTATACACTTAATTGCTCACAACAAGATTCATATATCAATATAAATCTATCAAACATTTCTTTAATTATGCTTTCCACCCCAAATACGCAAAAACGATAATAAAGAGGGGCCGTGAATACTCACTTTTCGTAATGAAAATAGCTCATATAACACATTCAATCGTGTTTTTCACCCCAAAAC